TCAGACAAACACAATACTCCTGACAGTGAGTAGGAGCAAATATGTGTGTGTGTGAGTGTGTGTGTGTGTGAGAAAGAGAGAGAAGACTAGATGAGAGAGACAGTCTTTGACAGAGAGAGGAGAGACAGAGTAAATATGAGCATTTCTGGCTGCGCTTTTTTCCCTTACACCCTAAATATATATATACTGCCTGCCATAGCAACTGTTACCAGTGTGCCATTGCATTTGGAGCTCAGGCGAAGACTCTTAAAGTTGGTTATGAATGCTATTATTAATTAAATGAATGCTCTTTTGCTGTTATGAATAAATGTTATTAGGATTCAGTTGTTATTTTATGAAACCGGGTTGTTGCCATCCACACAAAAATTGTAACACATTTTATTTAACGCATATGTAAATAATTAAAAATGCTATTGTAAAATTTGTAGTGTTATTGCTTGTAGTTATTTACCCATTGTGTAATACAGTATAGTGCTGCAATACTTGTTTTTCACAATATTTAACAGCTACATATTATTATTATTATTATTATTAGGTATTAGGTATGTAATAGAACAGGTTCTGTAAAGTTGGTAAAATTGTACAATGAATTTAATTTTCTCTCATGTAAATTTGGAGGTAAGAAAATTGAAAAGTTGTTTCAGAGCTGAACAGATGTAAGATATCTTCTTGCACTACGGGAAGACCTGTCATACAGATGTCCTGTAAGCTTGATGTGAAACTATCAAATGTCACAAAGAAACACGTATAGTAGTCCAATAAAAAAATATTAACTAGTCACAATATTTCAAGTGTATCGTCATCACAACTAAAAAAATGCAGTATGAATTACATTGCAAACTAAAAATAGTTTTGTTATTCTTTTGTGGGATCCCTGGTGATTTCCACCTATACCATCAAGGCAATGGGCGAATGGAAATGTTATGACACCCATAAACAATGAAGTGGAAGAGTTCTTGTGAATTCTGTCTGTTCACATGATGTATTTGCAGATCTTGATAGTTCAGTAGGGAAGTTTAGCGTGACCTCTAACCTCTAGCCTCTTTGAACTGGTGAAAGTAATATGAGTGAAAAACAGCAGCTAAAGACATTGAGGAGGAGAGCAGGAAATGAATCCAGTGAAAGAATGTACTTTTGTCTGATTGTGTGATGCAGAGTTATCATATTCCTCCAAGGCACACTGATAAAAACCTGGTGCACGATTGCCTGTTGAGTTTAGCTTGACCTCTAACCTCTTTGAACTGGTGAAAGTAATATGAGTGAAAAACAGCAGCTAAAGACATTGAGGAGGAGAGCAGGAAATGAATCCAGTGAAAGAATGTACTTTTGTCTGATTGTGTGATGCAGAGTTATCATATTCCTCCAAGGCACACTGATAAAAACCTGGTGCACGATTGCCTGTTGACTAAAAATCCCAGAAATCCCCTTTGCTTGCATTGTGTTTCTATCAGATAGGATTAAAAGGATTAGCATATATATTTAGATTAGGATTTCATGCAGGATATGAACCTTCAATTAAACTTTTAGCTGTGTTAAAGTAAAAAACATTCATAAATTAAGTAAAGACTGTTTTTAAATAAAGCAGAAAGTAAAATGAATCTTTTTTTTTTTTTTTTTGGTGGTGGTGGTAGTTTTTGGTTTAGCAATATTTTAGGACTAATTTGTCCCCAAAAGTGAGCTAAATCTGACATAACCTCAAATTGTTAAAAAAGAACAGTAGGCTGTATACTAGATTAAGTAAATGTGTTTTTTCTTAATTCTAAAAATGCTAAAAGTTTATCCAAAGTGTGTGTGTGAGTGTGAGAGAGAGAGAATTAATGAGGATGGGGGGCTCTGCTATGGAGATTCCTCATCTCTCTTAGACTCCATTCACTCATTTCTCTCATTCTCAACAAGATGCCCAAGGCTCTGTGTGTTTTTTGAGTGTGTGAGTTTGTGTGCAGTTGTTATTGTGAGTGGGATATGTGTAAGCTGTCGCGCTCTCTCTCTCTCTCTTTCTCTCTCTCGCAGACAAAGAGCCACTTGTAGGAGCTCTGCCTTCTTGTGGGTCTAACTCGGTTTCACACAGTGCACAGAAACTGAAGTGTGTGTGTGTGTGGATAATTACATTTACAATTTGAATTAAAACATCTCCCCCACTCTCTAATGTGCTACTGATTTAATTCAATTTTTAGCAGGAAATGGTGTTTGTTTATTATCTCTGTCTCTCTAGGACTTTGTTCCTTAAATATTAATTTTAATATATTTTATTTTTTATATTTACATTAATTTAACAGAGTAAAACACTTAAGAGTAAATTTAATTAATAATATTATTTAGAATGATTACATTTTATTATATTTTAATAATTTAGTATTACTAAATAATTATGTCATATAATCCTGTTATGGATTATATAATGGTTGTTACTTAGTTGTAAAGTTACAAGTTCTATAATTTTTAATAATGATAATTAGTTATGTATGTTTATATTTAAAAGTTTCATAGTGTTACCTAAGTAAACAAGCGTTAATTGAAGACAAAAATGTAACACTGATTGTTTGACCTATCCAAGACACACAACACAAAAACATGGCGCATTCACACACACAGGCACACAGACTCCTTTACTTCCTGTAGGAACAGGAAGGGTTGCCTAAATGATTCTAAATTTGCTGGTGAGATCTTCTCAGAATCAGCCCTGTGTGTTTTAGGGAGTGCACTGCCTGTTATTGAACCTCTTTGAGCTTCCAACACACACGCATTCGCAAACAATCCCTCTCAGGTCCAGCTTCTGAAATTCTCCGTCTGAAGCAGCTGCTGATTTGACAGGAAGCGATGAAGTCTTTTCTTCAGAGTTGAGGAGGTCAGATTCCTCCTCCTCCTCGCTCGCTTTCTCTTTCTGTTTCTGATTTGTTCAGTCATAGCCGGCCATCAGAGGAAGGGCACGAGTTTGACATCTTCATTGATGGGGAAAAAAGAGAGGGATAAAAAGAGATCTAGAAACAGATGTATAAAAGAACGGGATAGACAAGAACAGAGAAGAGGTCGCAGACAGAGGAGGCAAATGTCACACAAAGAGTTTAACCCTGCAAAAACTCCTTAAATCATGCAAATCTCTTATTCTCTCACGCACACACAGATATTCTCTAGTTCTGCACATCAACGCCTCAGATATCTGCTTTTATGAAGTGCTACAACATTAAAATCGTTCATCTCTGAGCTGGGTATCACCTGCTACCTCACAATATGATAAACATTGTGTATCTATGTCACGATTTAATATGCCAGTCCAGATGATCATTATTGGGTCTTGCTAAACTCAGTCTGGTGTCAAGTTCAGTCTTACTGGCATGGTCCACTGCATCTATAATAATAAAAATATCTTTTTTCATTGGTTTTTAGTGTTTTATTTTCAATATACATGACAGATCAAAAGTTTGGGGTAAGATTTTTTTTAATGTTTTTGAATTAAGTCTCTTATGCTCACCACAGGTGCATGTATTTGACAGAAATACAGTAAAAACAGTAATAATATAATTTAAAATGTAAAATTAACATTCTTTGATGAATAGAAAATTAAAAAATTATTTATTTGAAATTTGCTGACCTAAAACTTTTGAATGGTGGTTGTGTGTGTATATGTATATAAACTTTACCTATAAATTAAAATATCTCTAATGTTGGTCGATAGCTGATATGGTACAGATATATTGTGCATCTCCACTGACATGTTAATTGCTTTTTCTGAAATTCCTGAATTTACATGCCACTTACTGTTTGCTTTGGTTTGTTTTTAATTGACTTTTTTTTTTAGTTATTGATGCGTTTCCTCTCTACTCTTTTCAATGAGAGAACTGTAAGCTATCATAACTGCAGTGTGTGTGTTTGTGTTCTTGTTTATTTGAGTCTGTCTGTTCTCATTGTTTCCCTTCTTCTCATTGAGAACATAATTGTGCTTCTCGTTGCCTGTAATCACTCAGTCATAATTAGATTTCACAATCCTGTACACACCCCAGACACAGACATATGCACGTGAATGCACTTACAGCATGTTCTGTATAATAGATGCAAGTCTGTGCCCCACTAAAAGGTTTTTGTTGTTAACCCATCTGTGAAGATGTTTTGTAAGCTCTTATGTGTGTTAAACCAGCGAACAGCCTGCAGCGAGGAGCGTGTGCATGAGAGCAGAAATAACCAGCAGAATTACATTATACAGAGACAATATTTGAGTTTGATCAGGACCATATATCAGGGAAATGCAAGTTCTCCTGCACTCCACTGATGTGTTTTTTTATTTAAAGGCTTTGTCTATTTACTTGCCATTATTTAGTATGTGTTCATGTCTTTTTGATTAAAGGGTGTGTGTGTGTCTTTTTGTCTGTTCATGTTGCTTGTAGTTCTAGGGGATTTTCGTGTGTATGTGTGGTTATGTCTGTGTGTATGTCTCTGTAGTTTTAGGGCATGTCTGTGTCTGCGTGTTTGTATTTGTTCTTTTGTGTGTTCGTGTGCGGTTAGCAGTAAAATGTGTAAAGGACTGTGTTGCAATCATCTCCCCTTATAGACACATATTGATGTGTGCGCACACACATTCTAAAGTCTGAGAATGAATCATATACTCCCTGAGTGTGGATCAACACATGATGAACAATAAATTATTAACTCTAATAAATGAAATGAGATGCTTCACTTTCCCTGTCCAATAAATCATAGTCAGCAGATACAGCTCCATCTCTGTCCAGCTCATTTCTGACTCTGCTCTTCTGTTGCTCTCTTTCTTTAATATTTGGAATTGTTTCATATTTTGAAATGTGTTATTAAAAGAAAAAAGGAACGGCGATAGTCCCTCTGGAGCATTTTGTGGAGGATCTTGGCAGTCTGGAGGGCTATTTGAACCCTATGTTTTTCCTCTCACGATCGTGGGGTCCACAGAGATGCAGATTCTACCGAGAATCAGTATTAGAGAGGATTGTATAAATGTGTTTGTGATTTATTGTAACCTTGTATGCTTTGTGTTGCAGGTTTGTGTCTGGGAAGGGCTTGGTGATCTACCCGGAAATCGGTGACAAACTGGACATTATCTGCCCCAAAGGGGACATGGGAAGACCGTATGAGTTTTATAAACTCTACCTGGTGAAGAAAGAGCAGGCCGAGTCCTGCAGCACCATACTGGACCCCAATGTGCTGGTGACCTGCAACAAACCAGGGAAAGACATCAAATTCACCATCAAGTTCCAGGAGTTCAGTCCAAACTACATGGGACTTGAATTCAAACGCATGGCAAACTATTACATCACCTGTAAGTAACTCCAGCTTTTCTGTATCTATCTAACAACTTCTTTTGGGAACACATTTTTCACTATCATAACATATTTGCAAAAATTGTAGTATTGTTTAATTGTAATATTGCAGTACCCTTAAAGGGTACCCTTACCCCCTAAAGCAGTATATACCCTTAAGGTTTTAGGGTTAAATAAGGTACAAAGAGGTCCTTTTGAGGGTACTGCCCCAGTGACAACCTGTTGTACTCCCGAACGTACAATTTTACACATTTGATTTACTACTAAAAATCCCTAAAGTTGTACTATACAAATTAGCGTTAATCTAGTGTAGTCGGAAAAAGATTATTTAAGATAAAATAGAAGTTAATGAGATGTCCCATTTTAGATAGCTTGCTAAATGTGTGTTTGGGTCAGGTTTTGCCTATATTATGTGGTCCAAATGTCCCCAAAAGAATAGTAAAGCCAGAAATGACATTATGGGGACCAGCCAAAGTTCCTCATTGTTTTTTAATTTAAACCACAGACTATGTGATGATTTGGGGTATGGTTAAGGAATAGAAAATATCATTATCAATAGAAAATGTGTGTGTGTGTGTGAGAGAGAGATATGGAAGCCAGTTTCTGCCTTTGAGTAAAAAATAAAACGGGTAATTGAAATAATGCTTAAAATGAGAGATACCGTTTAAAATAAGAAATAAAGTCACATTGTAACACAAAGTTGCAATTTGTGGGAAATGAAGTCGCATTTAGGAGAAATAAAGCCACGGTTATGACAAATAAAGTCAGAAAGGCAGGAAGAGGCTTCCATAGTAATGGTAATATGTTTGTGTAAATCTGTAAATGGCACAGTCAAGCTTTTGTGAAAGAGGTTTTCAGTGAGGGATGATTTTCCAGCCACAAACAGCATGGAACAGTTGTACTGAAGAGCTGATTAATCATTCATTCAGAATTAAAGATTTCTAACGTCTAACATTCAGCATAAATGCATGCTAAACCCTTAGCATACGAGATAAAAACAGCAGGGAACAGCATGGTAAATGTAACACGCTCTTTCTGTCTCCTTTTCTCTATGGCTCAGTGTATCCACCCCCTTTACCCCGCTGTCTTTTTTTAACTCTTTCCCCAAGGATGGTGGGAGGGAGAGACACTTTCAGTCAGGCATGTCTCATTGGTTGTCGTGCCTCACTGAGTTTTTGGTCTCTTGGCCATGATGCCCAGACATGTCCCATAATCCACTTCACCTCTACTGACCCATCACCACAACTACCCCCAGCAAGCAGCAGGGCTGATATTAGATCCAGTAAAACACACACACACACATGCACACAGACTCCCTAGCAACCAGTTCCTTTATCTTGCTCTGGTAAACAGGATGAGTCTGGTTAAAATAATTTTGCTGAAATGTGTTTGTGTTCTGGGTTCAGTGGTTTTTGCTGTCTGGTCATTTTGAGTTAATAACTCAGCGAGAGACTTTAGAGCGTGACAGTTTCACACGCATCCGTTTGCTCCTCAGAAAAGCCTCTCGAGCAGCGTTTCGACAATGTGCGCTATTGGTATGTCACATTTATCTTGTTTACATACATATTGCTACGTTTACATGCACAATTTTTGGTTAAATCGGACTGAATTCATTCCGATTGATGAATCTGAATGTAGTGTTTACATGAACGCTAAATAAAGTGATCGGGTTGATGTGCGTGTTTATATGTCACAAGCTTCAAATCGAAATTTTATTTTTTTTTACATGCGCACACTGCATAAATATAGAGTTTTTCACTGTTTGCACATAATAACCACTCTCCTACATAAACACAGCTCAAATGCTTCCTACTAGTGTGGCCCAAAATGGCAAGCACAGTTTTATTACAGGTAGAATGCAAAATGTTTGTGTACAAGCATTTCAACCAAATGTAATTTATGCAATAGGCTATTTCAAACCTTTAACCCACTGGGGAAAATCAACCCATGGCAACAGTTTAAAAGCAGCCCAATTTCGTGGAAAAAAAAACAACAACAACCCTGCATCCAACACGAGCTGCAGTCAGATTTGCCTGATCACGGGTCAAAAGTAAGGAGAGATAACTGACAAGATGTTGGAGGATTTGCTCCTCAACAGATCCCGAGCTTATTGACAAATATCTTTTATCATAGGATGTGCTCCCTTTACACAGTGCGCGTGCGATCGCAAAATTGAAAGTGAACTACGACTGCGAGTGCTCATTGAAAGGGGATTTAAATACCCCACATATTGACAGCGGCGCCCTGATGCACGAAAATTATATACAATATTACAATGTTTGCGGGAGCGGATGGGAGCGTGCGGTAATGGTCAGAAATTCAGCGTGAGCGGGATCAACAAGCCCCACGCTATCACGCAGCGGCGCAGTCAGTCAGTGAGCGCCGTAACAGATGACGTCAAATCTTGCGGGATTCCATAAATAAAATACACAGAACCCCACTATTCGACAAATATACATAATGAAAAGATGATACAAATTTAATACCTTGGAAAATGGCATTTAAGGCTTTTTAATACTTTTTAAGGGCCTTAATTTTCTCTAAATTGATTTATCAACTTTTAATACTTTTTAAGACCCCGCGGACTCCCTGTAACAGCAGAATTCATATTTATCCATTTATGAATAAATATACATATAAACCGCTGTGCCATGCTGCTCATATTTATCACGCAGTAAAAATGCCCCTCCCCGCGCCCAAAACGGGTTGCCTGTGGATGAGAATCCAAAACAAGGACTGGTGAGAGGTTGTCCTGCTCCACTTCACAGTTGCCGAGTAATAGGAGAGTTTTATAATGACAGGACAGTGGACACACATTTATACAACACTTTATTCAAAAGGAAGAGCCGTTCGTTCCGCGCGTCATATGTCATTACGCTATTTCTGCGTCATTGCACTCAATCGGATCGATTAAGGTGTTTACATGAAGGCTTTTTAGTCCGATTGAGCCGTCAACCCCATTACAAACGGATTATTTGGTTGCATGTAAATGTAGCAGTGAGTGCCTGAACTGATTGTAGTTTGGCATCAGTATAGATGCTTTTTAATATAAAACTCCCCTTGTGTGTGTTAAATGTAAGCAAGATGTTTCAACCCAATTCGTCTGTCTTGCCATTACTTGTGGTTAAAGTTTATGGCGTATTTTAATTATTACATTTATGATAGTTTTGTTAGCACTCTATGCTAATGAAATGTTGTGTGGTTTGATAATGAATAGCTACCATTTAGCTTGTTCTGATTGTGTCTGAGCAGATACATGCTGCTGCAGACCTCACTTATACTGACACTCTGCCCACCCGCCTTGAGCATGTCTGTCAGGCTTTTTCAGTTGCTACAGTGTCACTCCAGGTGCTTTTTATCCATCCACGAGAATCTGCTGTTTCTCCTGTCACTATATTTGCCTCTTTCAGCTTGGTGTCGAGTTTCTTTCTCTCAACCTCTGTGCCTTTCCTGTACCCTCAGTATGTTGATTTCTGTGATGCTGACTATGTTTCCTATTCCTGCTGAGCTCAACACTCACCATGTCGCCGTGCCACCCATGTCGTACCCTAAAAAGGCCCCTTAAATCCATTTTTTGGAAAGAACTGTCAAGCTCTTTGTTTCTGTCTTCAGTACCCTCCATTTCATCTGTAATTTCAATTTACATAATATTAACATAACATAATATTATCTTTCAGGACATGTTATATTTTAAATCTAAACTCAGAGATTGAATTCTTTTGAATGACTGGTTCATGTAGAAGGCTGCACATGTCCCAGGATACTCAAATCAATATGTAGACCATGTAGTCCCTACAGAGGTTCAGCACATTGGCTCCAGAGGCCAATCCAGTGACTCAAATCTCCTCGCTCTATTCCTTTATCCGTGTAACTATTTGTCAAATCGTCTCCAGTCTGTCTGCAGAGGTTCTTTGAACCAGGCCGGGTCTGCTGTCCCGTCTCTCTGTCTCAGCCTCCCTCCCAGACATACATGTTAACTTCTCCCGTCGAGCTGTGCCGCAACAGTTACCTCAAGTGCTCCAGACATGTTGTGCTGTGCACTGAAATAATAATTTTTAATCAGTATTCTTGTTTTGTTTTCCAGTAAAAAATATTTAAACATCCTTTAAACAACATAAATGAACAAAAGTATGTGTAGTTATAATACTTGTTTTCAGAGGATATATCTTGCATTGATTTTATTTCCCTTAACCCACTGGCATTTTTAAAATAAATCTCACATAGGCATAAATCTAACAAAAATTGTTTAAACTTAAAAAACAAGTAGCCATTTAAAAAAAAAAAACTTTACAATTAATCTCTTTAAAACTTACAGAAATGCTTCTCAAATCTCTAGTATTCTCAATAATTTTTGTTTTCAGATTTTGTCATGTAATGTATGTTACACTAATGTTAAATGTTAATGTACCATTGTAAAAATTGTTTATTAGCATTGTTCTTTGCTGTTTTTTTTTTAAATAGTATTTTAGGATTCTTAGAGTTGATGTGGAAAAATTTTGATTTACAATTTCCTTTTTGCAACAAACCAAACCAGTTTTAAGTATTTTTGTTTCCAGGATGTTTAGATTTCTTTTGGAAAACAAGATAAAAAAACTGATTAAAAAAAAAGTTTTTATTTTATAGGTTATTTTGTAATCAAATTCATTTAGACATAAATACAAAAATAAATACGCAGTCCTTTTGACATCGCTGTCATTCATGCGTTAAGTTATGTGTGTTTTTATTGTTTGGGTATTTTGCTATGTCTGGACTGGGGTCAGTAAGCCTGTGCTTGGTCAGATTCTGTGTCTGTTTCTAATTGTGAAGAGAGATTCTGAGAATTCATTCTTTTATGACCTGATTTAATTCCAGTATGTGTTCCAAAAAGACATTGGGCTGATCGTGTCACTCTTGTGTGGAGTCATGAAGCAGTTCAGGTTTGAAATGGATCCTGGGTCATTGTTTGAGTGCAGGTTTAATTCAGAACCTGTTGGATGAGAGTGATTTGAGCTCTCATGAT